GAGAATGAGTGATTAAAAATTAAAGAAAATTTTGAATTTACGTGTAAAATATTTTATTGTATGAAAATGATTGAAAATGAGTACCTTAGAAGAGAGTGAAAATAATTGTTGTCAAAAGGGGCATTGTGATTATTTTGCAATGCATGTGGAGGGTAAAATTGTCAAGAAAATAAATGTTTACCCTACCTTACCTACTCAAACCTACGAATGGTAAGTTATAAACATGATATCGAAAGAATTGCCGACATATCTATCAATGGGATAACGAAATTCAGGAAGGGATTATCTTTGTAACTTTTTGAAATAATAGAGGTATTTGCCGTTTGGTTTGAGTCAAATATATTTTTGTGAGAGCTAGACTGGCCACATTTGGTAATATCAGCCACAAGTATATCAATTTTAAGACCCTGCCTTTAACTGCAGTGATCTAACATGATAATTGTCCAAGAAAATGGCCGCCAACCTAATTGAAACTGAGGCTACGCCCATGAATGACAGAGTAAACGAATTACGAGCTTTTGATGACACAAAAGCTGGTGTCAAAGGCCTAGTTGATGCTGGACTTACCAAGGTGCCAAGAATATTCATTCAACCACCAGATGATTTCGACAAGAAATCCAACCCACAATATGAATTTCCATTGATAGACCTAGAAGGTTTTTGCGATGATCTCAATAGGCGAAAAGAGATAATTGACAAGGTTAAAGATGCAGCAGAGACATGGGGTTTCTTCCAGGTGATTAATCATGGGATCCCGGATAGTGTTTTGGAGGAAACGTTGAATGGAGTGAGGAGTTTCTATGAACAAGATACAGAGGTCAAGAAAGAATGGCACACCCGAGATGTCTCGAAAACCGTAGTATATAACAGCAATTTTGATTTGTATAGTGCTCCATCAGCCAACTGGAGGGACACCCTTTTCTGTCAAATGGCTCCTCATATTCCAAAACCTGATGAATTGCCCTTTGTGTGCAGGTAATGCTAATAACACGCGATTTAAGAGTAGTTTAATGTTTCTTTCCAAATTATAGTTATTTGTAACTTTTGAGAAGTTAAGGTTGTACGTGGTGGCATTCATCTTGGCCAATAGTGCACGATCTGTTTTCTTGTTAAACTACATGCTGAATGCTTGGCTAGTTCAAACATATCCTAGAGGCCGAAAATTTTCACTCTTTATGCTTGGATAACTAGTCAATTTACCTCATATTCTTCATTTCTGCAGAGATATTATGATAGAGTTTACCAAGCAAGTTATGAAACTGGGAAGTTGTTTGTTNTGCTACTAAACGACCAGGTTAGCGGCCTCCAAGTTCTCCATCAAAAACAGTGGGTTGATGTTCCTCCAGTTCCTGGAGCTCTTGTGGTCAATATTGGAGATCTTCTACAGGCAAGTGTTCAATTGGCTCATCTGTTAGAGACTTGTCACATTCACAATTTTTATTGAGCCATGGCAGCAAGACTTGGCACTAGGACTTTATAAGCTCTGATACTATGTTTAACAACCTCATCTATGTTAAAGAGATAAAATCTCATATGGAATAAAGATGAAACCATAAACCAACTTATAAGGAACTGAGCTACTACTTTTAATAATGTTCACCAGTTAATATGGAATTCTAAGTCTTGATATGATATCAGAGCATATTAAGCTTCAATCCGATTAAGATTCAAAAAATGGGCATGGAAACCCAATTCTTAACAATCTAAAAACCTTAATATGATCGAGAGGAAGCTCATTTGTTTTTTTAAAGTTTGTGTTAAACAATCCTATCATTGCATTACTTTCTGTTCTATATAAAATCTGTGGTAAATTTGAACAAATTTTCATCTAAAAATTACGGTTTTTTTTTTCCAGCTCGTATCAAACGACAGGTTTTTCAGTGCAGAACACAGAGTACTTGCGAATAATGTTAGTCCAAGAATTTCAGTGGCATGTTTCTTTAGGAGTGATATATCTGCATCTCCAAAGCTCTATGGACCAATCGAAGAACTTCTATCAGAAGATAATCCTCCAAAGTACAGATCAACTACTGTGAAAGATTACGTGACCTACTTCAACACAAAAGGGCTGGACGGAACTTCTGCGCTGTTGCATTACAGGATTTAGAGTTAAAACAAGGGAATATATGAAGAAAATTCGTTCAGTCTCCAATTTTTTAGAAACAAACTGCAAAGAATCATTAGGAATAACAAAGGGAATACTCCAATTTATAGTCACAATAAAACTGCTCTACGAATGAAATCATGCAAATCATGAAAATCGTGGGACTGCCTAGTTTATGGTGAAGCTGTTCAGGTTTATTACATAACATATATTTTAGGACAAACTTCTTGTCAATTCTCCCGTGTGTTGTTATCTTCACGTTTGTTGATTTTAATTTTCAGAATCTGGTTCACTGAAAAAATCCATCTTTCACACGTTCCTTTCAAAATCAAGCTTTTTTTCACATCATTTAATGTGTCATACATATGCCTGTTATACCATCCTATACTTCTGGTCCTCTGGACTTATTGTTAACATACAAACACTAAGAACCAGATTGCAGAATATTCTCAATAAAACTAATTGCTCGACCGAAAAGTTGAAAAGCCGTATTTAAAAGTATCTCAAACTCGACCCTCGCATAAGCCAGATTCAGTGTAAACTAGAATAGAATCCAGGACATCTGCCTGTTTCGATATAATATTGAGTCACCTCATTTAAAATATTAAGATGTTAAAATGTGATCAGATTTTATTATTTAAATTATGTGTTCAACATTGAAGAGCAATAAAAACAACACGAACACTGTAAGCATAACTGAAGAAGCAATTCTTCTTGTAGTACTTAGAAGAAAACGTTGTGCGTCTTCTAGTCTATATATGTATCGACTAGATTAAGGACTCTTATTAGTTTTCATATGTAACTTCTTCCTCTCATCAGAGAAAGTTAGTTATCGACTCAAGTCATTAACGAAGAATCATTTCTCGTATATTCTAGAGCCTCTGTGCGGAAGGCTGTTGAGGATACAAAATCAGGTGTTAAAGGATTAGTTGATTCCGGGATTGTCAATATTCCAAAAATAATGTTCAGCATAAGAAGATCATTGACGAAGTGAGACAAGCATCAAAAGATGTTGACCTCCTTGCTTCTCTCATGTACACACGAGCCCCCTTTCTCCTCGGTCCATAGAGACAAAATGTAGGATTGGTACCCAAGAATGGGTCTTTTTCCAGGTGCCGAATCATGGAATCCCCCTTTATGTTTTAGATGGCATCCTTGAAGGAATTTGCAGGTTTTATGAACAAGATGCTGAGGTAAAGAAAGATTATCATTCTTGTGATTAGACGAAGAAGGTGATATATGATAGCAATGTGGATGTTTGTGGAACATGCTGCTAATTGGAGGGACATAATGGCCATTTCTATGATGTTCTCATATCATGTTGAACCTTGTGAATTGCCCGCAATTTGCAGGTATAACTGCCATCTTGTTGAACTTCATGACCTATCCATTCATGAAAACGAGATTGTTCATGCTTCTTACCCACATATAATCGGCCTTCTAAAAGGTCCTTTTATATCTTAGGCATTTATGGCGACTTGATACATGTATAGAATACTGTATGATAATTAGACCTGACTAGTCAACACAGTCCAACAGTTTGTCACATTGTCCCGCTCCTGGAAGAATCAGAATTGTTCCATTTCTTCTGTCGACCAGCACTCAATATGGTTCCGTAGATGCTTTCATAATATTTTTATGCTATTGACAAATAGTAAGAAAACAGATTTTAGCTGTCCACCTTATGCGGCTACTGACATCTCATCAACATTGTTATGCATAACTTCGATAGAGATAATAACCTAGAGGTCATCTATACATCAGAGAGCATTTTTCAAATTACAAAAAAAATTAAAATATGGAATTGTCATTACTTTGTCTTACTGTTAAATATAAAGCAAATAAATTGCGAAGAAGTTCCGAATTTCCCTTCCAACTAGAATCTTCGGTAGGTCTGACAATTGGACACCAAATTATGGAGTATATCAATCAAGTTATGAAGCTGGGAGAAGTTGTGTTCAAGTTATAGTCCCAAATTATTGGGAACAAGCATTCCTCTGCGGCCAAATTTGCATCCTCCCAAGTTTTGCCAGATAACAACTGGGTTGATGTTCCATTCCTATCCGGGACATGACACATTCCCATGAAAATAGGGAAAATCATGTAAGCCATTATATAACCATAATACCAAGATCTTTAGAATTCATGATTTTCACATATATATTAACTGATCAAGAAACATATAGACCCATAGCAATAATTTAAGATATAACTTGCAAAATAGTAACCAGTAAAATCTAGAAACCGTTCTCTCTCTTTTACTCTTTGTAATTGAATGAATTAATTTGATGGGTTTCATTCACTTTTACAGGCAGAAAGAGGCAATTTCATGGGCCATAAAAAGTGCCAACTCTCCATCAAAGTGGATAGTTATAAAAAAAACTGTCACTTTTCAATGGAGCAATAGAATTTTAAAAATAATAAACCACATTAATTAATTTATTAATAATATTACTCAGGCCACATTAATTGGTCTTACATTCTCCCACTTGGTCCATGTAATATTATATCGTTATGTGGTTTATAACATAACGCGCATATAAAAAACTAAAATTCCTCATACATTACTCACTTAATATATCATCCTTACATAAAGATTAACAAGAGTTATAGCAGTTTTACACCATCATTTAGGCATAATTCTTTCCATGTACTACAATATTAATCCCTACCTAACATGACATGTATTGAGAAGTTCGATAACTACATTTCAATAATATCTTTGAAAAGATTGTCCTTCGTCAGCATTCATATAATCTATTTTTGTACATATACCAACTATTATGATATGAATAATATTGTGTCAAAAATAATACATAAACGAGCTCAAAGTGTCAATTACATAAATTCCATAACGTCAATTATCATTTCTAATAATGCTCATTCTTTCGGCATGTTCATTAAATATATTTGGTGGCAATCCTTTCATCAGTGGATTTGCAATCATAAGATTGGTGCTAATATGCTCGATTGACACATTTTGTTTTTGAACTTCTTTTATAATGGCAAAGTACTTCAATTCCATGTGTTTAGTACCTTTAAAATACTTGTCGTTCTTTAAAAAAAAGACTGCTGTAGAATTGTTACAATAAAGTTTCAATGGCTTGGCAATATTGTTCACAATTCCAAGCCCTGAAATAAAGTTCCGCAACCAATTTTCTTGAACCATGGTCTCAAAGCATGCCACAAACTCAGATTCCATAGTGGATACAGCAATGACCGACCGCTTCACACTTTTCCATGATATAGCCTTTCCAGCCAAGAGGAACATATAATCAAATGTGGACTTTCTAGTATCCACATATCTAGCAAAGTTTGAATCCGAATATCTAATGACTTCCAAGTTATAAGATCTCCTATAAGTGAGAATGTGGTCTTTCTTTCATTGCAGATAACTCAATACTTTCTTTGTAACTTTCTAGTTATCAAACCCTGGGATACTTAGATCCATGCCCAGCATTCCGACAGCAAAATTGATGTCGC